TAGTAGTAGTAGTAGTAGTAGTAGTAGTAGTAGTAGCCGCAGCAGCAGCAGCGGTAGTCTGAAGAGATATGGAGAGATATGGAGAGATGCCCCAAAACATCCCAACACACGGTTTCTTCTTCATGCAAATGACTAGGTCTTTTGAGGGGGGGGCCTTGTGGATCCACATACCCTTTGCGAAAATAGGGAGAAAAACATATCACTGGTAATTACGGGTCCTTACCTTCTCATAAGGCAGCGGAATTGTGGTCATTGAGATGGTCCAAATTCCTGCGTCTTCACCTGCGGTGCTCTCACCCCAGCAGCGCTTTCTCCCCACCTTCGTAGTAGCCGGGCGCGTTCTCAATCTTGAAGACCTACCGAGGCATGCCACAAGGACCTACCGCGGTTGTTCTACTCGGTTCGACCGGTTCCACCGGTTGTGCATGTTATTGGATGGTATTGGAATGGTAACCCACCATGAGAGTGTCGCCAAGGAGTTGTGACCAAAGAAACAATAGCAAACAAAAAACTATTTTCATCTCCGGGGCGAGGGAGCAGGTGTTCTTACATGATCTGAGCCATCATGCTGTGCAGATGTTGAAAACACCGTCATCAACCTGAACCAGAAAAAACCTCAACAAACCCTCTGTGAAACAAAGATGCATCAAAACCTGTTCCAAATGCCTTTTCCCTCGTTGATAAATAAAAAATGTGATGAATCGAACCACCCAAAACCATCAGCACTATAGTAGGCATAAGAGAGCCGAATTAGCTCGATCATTCAAAAGTACAGACGGGAAATCTCTGGTGGAACCACTGGACATGGAGTGGAGCACCTGGTAAATGGTTTGAAACCATTGACCAGGTCCTCCACTCCACGCCAAAGATTTGTGAGTACAAGTAGATGGTCGAATTAGGTTCCAGATCCAACAGGAAAAAACAACGCAAAACATACAAGAAGTACACAAATGTGTGTATCATAGATCGATGCAGTACCCCCCCTTAAGGACCCCACCTTGGGGGGGTTGACTTAGCAAGTCTCCAGTTGGTACATGGTACAGAAGTCAAATTACATCCGGGAAGACTAACATGGAACGTGACAACGGACCTTTTTTCAAGGCGATATTCCCCTACAAACCAGTGGTTTTGATGTTCCAGGTGGGTCTCGGAACCAGGGTGGTTTTTTCAAAGGAACTCTCACTCACCAGTTTTGCCGCGGCACGCGCAGAAGTTCCAGCACAGGCCCTTCAGGATCCGCCACCGGACGCTTCACCCCGACGTCCATGGGACGCTGAATGATGAAGAGCTCCCCCCGCTGTACGCAACTGGACGCGTAAAGGGTTGTTTTAGGAGGGAATCAAAGGGGGGTTTTAGCTTGGAACTGGCCTTTTGGACGCTTTGGAGGGTTGAAAAGTGGCATCTTCCTACGTGCAGGCTTGAGTGCATTAAAAGTCAAGTGGTGAGTCATGATTCATGCTCAATGCATATATGGGCAATTTGAGCCTCGAAATGGCTGAATGTCTTGGGTTTACTTGGGCTTTTGATAGCTTGATCCTTCACCTTGACATACACTGATGGTTGATCATCGTCGTCGTCGTCGTCGTCGTCGTCGTCGTCGTCGTCGTCGTCGTCACCACCATCATCACCACATCTGCGGTGGTCAAAACATGCTAGTCATTCTGCTGCCATGGTATCGCTCTTCAAGGTTCCCCATCGCTCCACACAGTCCCAATCAAGAAACAAGAAAACCAACAATCTCTCTCGACCCGGAGGATTCTTTCTGGTTCCTCTTACAAGCTCCCACATGTAAGCCTTACAAAGGTCTTCGACCAACTCCTTGCTATGTGGCATGAGGAAGTGCTAGTACGATAGTGAGTGGCTCTGCACATGGGGACGTGGCTAGGACTCGACTTCTGAGGCATCGCTCCAGGTGTTGGTATCGGCGTTGGTAGCGGTCTAGAAACCACGCTTTTCCAAAGCATAGGTGAACATATCATTGCGAGATGACACATTCCTGGAACAGGTATCGCTCTTCAGGGTTCCCTATCGCTACACACAGTGAGCACAGAGTTTTACAAAGTCAATGGCGGTTCACCTCCAAAACTCTTCATAGGATGTTCTGGCGTTTTCTGCTCATATGAAATTAATATGATGTGGTTCCTTTTTGGATGAAGGGCTGGTGTAAATCATAGTAACAGTCATGCAAGCTGATGGTCGGGCACCTCTTTAGACCACCCGTTGGCTAGTGGAGTCATCAGAGTCGTCAGAGTGTGACGACAAGCTCCAAGTTCTTTCCTCATACAACCCAGCTCCAGGTGGATGAAAGCGGTGGTCTCCCCCGGACAGGGAACCACAATGTTCAGTCTTTTGTGGCTGTGTTTCACATGCCTGAGCTTGAAACAACTGGTTTTGGGAGAAGATGTTCAATTTGTTCACTTGGTTTTTTTAATGGCACAAAACAATTAAATACATACATCATCGTACATCTCACATGTGGTGGTTCTCCACACACGCCCTCACGAGAAGCATTTGAGGATATGTTGTGGCCACGAAGACGGTCGCATTCGTCTGAAAACCCACCCGACCGGCACTGGTTGCTTCGGAGCACTCGACCAGCACGGTTCACCCCGTCGGCGTTGGTCGGATCGAGCGCCCAAGTGTTTCACAGGGGACACCCCCCCTGGCGACCGAGACCCTCCCAGCTTCACCCGCAAACCGTGGGCGTCCCAACCGCCAGAGGGGGGGGGGGCGACTCCCAATCGGCGCCCACAGCGTCACAGGGCGGGTCTTCTTTGTTCGCCGCGCTCGACCCGGTCTGGCTGTGTGCCGTTGCTTCGGCGCTTGGTTCGTCCTGCGGTGGGGGAGTTCGGTCCGTGGCGGCTTCGAGGCCACGGGAAGAGCGTGAGGTGTCAGCACATCCCAGACGCTCCATGGGACTGGAATATATGCCGATCAGTTGGGGTGGTGCCAGGGGGGTCAATGTGGACATATATATATATATATATATATTGGCTCATATATGGACGGGAGCGTCTGGGTATTGTCACTCAAAAACTCGGCAAAGCATCGACAGCCTCGGAGGGTGAATATAATGCAATGATCACAACATGAGCATGAAGTCATCTGACAGACATGGAAAGCATGAAGTCACATGGAAACAGTCCAGTCGGTCTCATCCAAAGCTCCACGGTCTGAATGCTCTCTGGCATATAGATCTAAATAAATGTTCTCTGTATAGTCTGTATAACATGTCTGTGTGAATAGGTCACACGATGTTTCAATAGATGTGTCAAGACCTCGAGTTGAAAAAAAAAACACCGACGCACGAAAGGTGGCCTGATGCTGCCCTCTTCGAGGCTGATGCAACTGGACGTTGTAAGGGTGCCTGCCACATGATGAACTCACAAACCCACTGAAGACTAGGCCAATTGGGAAGTTCCCCTGTTCTTCAAATTTCCTGAAGATAAACTGGGTACTCACCAGATCACAAACTGCTGCGACATCGTGGGGGAAAGCGCCATGGATCCGGCTTCGGATTGATTCTCAAGCGGCCTGAGTGAAGCTGTTTAGCCAAGTCACGCTCAAACCATGTCAGCGCAGGGCAGCTCGATCTTGAAATCCAAGCCCTGTTGCATCACCGCCTCGCGACAGCCAAAGGGATCGATCACCATCCAACAGGTCCTAGCTCCTGTCCCCCTCTTTCATGGTCGCAAAGTTCTTCGAAGGTTGCACCTCATGAGGGGGGGGCATCAAGTCCAAGTGCTCTGGAAGGAACAAAAACCAGTCCGGAACTCCTTCGGGTCCTTCTCCATGCTTCTCCCTTCTGTCTCTGGCAGGGTCGGACCGTATCCGATTCCCTGCACCCCTGCGGCCGACGCGCCCGGCTGGCGCGTGCCCCCAAGTGGCCAAAGGGAGAAAATTCCTTAAGGATCCGGGAAAGAGGGGCTCCAGCAGTAGGGTGGAATGGGAATGAATGGGAGAAGGTGGCCAGTTCCCTAGCAGTCTTCTTCCAAAGGTCTCACCTCATGGCGTCCACGGGAGAACGCAGAGTTTGGTCCCACAGGTTCTCAAGCAATTCTTGCTTGAAAATCATCTTGGAGGGTCCAGCAGTTCAAGGAGGTCTTCAAAAGATCAATGGTGATTGATTCAGATTCATTATATGATTGCTTTTTTTTGGCAGATGGTGGCTCAGGAGCAGGGACTCCAAGATGTAGTCGATGCTGCCTGGATGTAGTAGTAGCCAAAGTCGCCCAGGAGCACCAAGTGCAACACATGAGCACCCCTGAGCCAGGCTCGGTGGGTTGATGAGAGCAGCTGGTAGAGCAGCTGGCTGAAGCGCAGGACTACGACGTACCATCAACGTGTTCTCTTATAGAACTAGGCACCAGCAACTTGTATGGCTTTTCGCTTTCTATTCGGCAATTTTGGGGGGTACTGTGGTATAGTTCTGTCCTGAAACTCCAGCTTCCAAATTGGAAGCAGTCAGTAACTCAGCAGGGATCTGTCCAGTAACCAGTAACAATCAAAGGCACTCAACTCTGCACCAAATTGCCCAAAAAAACAAAGGATGGGAATGACCTTGCGAAACATAAGCCTTGCCCGCAACCAACCAACTCCCCAGTGACATGCCAGTGACATGGAAACAACATTCACAGGTTCTGAACCCAGCGCCTTTCTTGGGATAACTTCTCAGAGAGACCTCTTGCCTTACGCACACTTTGGCAACTTGGAATCCGAAATTCTGCCGGCTTCTACACCATTGGAGACACTTTCACCACACCCAAGAAGAACTCCCCAAGTGCCGATAAATGCTTTTCCCGGTTTCCCGTGAAACCATGTCCCGTGTTTCCCTGCTGTTCCCCTGGTTGCCCTGACGTTCATTCCCTAGGGTCTCCGGACAAGATGGCCCAAATCGCCTTAGTGGCGTGCCCAGTCGGCCACCACGTCGAACCACACGTGATGCGCCGATGCGCGACGATGCATCTGGCATGTTGTATGTTAGGGTACGGCCACGGTGTGGCCCCCCCATTTAAGAAAAGCTCACCAAATCAAAAATGACTTGGAATTGGAGGATGAGCTCCACAAATACCGGCCCCTGCGCGGTTTTACAAAACCATAAAAAAAACCGATGGTTTTTGTGGCGAGGTTGTGGCCCGCCTGGTCATGTGGACTAAGAAAATCAGGTGTTCTGCCAAGGATGGGACCAAACCACTTGAACCTGCGAAAATCCCATGACTTGCCGCACCTTCCAAGGCCACAACCACGCGGGTACGCAGGAAAAGCCACATAAAGGGTTCGGTCGTGTTCTCTGAAGCTTTCTCCGGCTCCTCTCAAAATGAAGGGAACATACATTGGAATGCCCATGTACTTTCCCTCTTAATTACCTGTGTGATTGTGGGGCATCTCTCTCTTACGCACCCTTTCCCTCAAATCATAGCCCCCAGCCACGTTGGCCCTCCGCCGAGTGGCATGATTGATGCCGTCAAAGAGGGGGACACAGGTGATGTCGAAGCGAGCGTGCCACATGAAAATCCCACTTAACGCGCGGCTCGTGGCGAGCATGGCGATGTAATGTCCTGCAAGCTGTGCAATCAGCTGATTGGGAAGTGCGCAAAGTGGGTCTTTTTGGTTTACTATAGAAACTGACTATAAGTGAAACTGTATCTTTCATCATCGTTGTTGTTTCATGTCGTTCTGTGAAGCTTCTTCCGTGAATAGGGCCAAGGATGCTTGGCCAGTTGTGTCTGTTTTGCTCCCCAAGGGAAGCGAGAGTGTCATATTGGCTTACTGTCGTACATCATGAAAAGCCAAAGAAGCCAAAAATTAAAGGTCAGCAAAAATAAGATCGGGTGTAGAGAAAATCAGATCGAAGTTTCGCCCACATGGTTGCACTAACTAACATACGTGTGCTATAAAAGGCCGTCTCTGATCTGGTCACGCTGATTTCTTCCAATGACCCAGGCAAAATGAATGAGGCATGGACTTAGAACCGCGGCGTTCGTCACCACAAAACCCACCTCCGACACATCCAGGGAAGCACCACCTCCCTTCTTCTACGGCACAAGGGGAAGGGCCGAACCTGCGAGCCGAGCTCGGCCTCTCCTGTGCATGCTTGGATCACCCCACCGGTCTTGTTAATGTGCCACAGCTGTGGCAACACGGAGACCACGCTGAGGAAGAGCCCGGCCATCCAGAAGGTGTCCTTAGCAGGATCGCAAGGCAGGATCGTTTGGATCGCTTGGACTTTTCACCGTGGTGTTCCATCGTTCAGTCCGTGCCCTGCCTGGCTGGATCCGAACCCAGATTTTCTTGCTGGGATCCCTCATCCTCTATGAATGCGTCCGTCCTGCCCAAGCCCACCTATATAGGTGTCACGATAAGGAGTTTAGATGGATGTCAAAGAGGAAGAAGTGGGGAGGCGCGTAGTGACTTCCTACTCAGAACGGGTGGGTAGGCAGTATCTCTGTCCATGGTATCTCAAGTCGTGTGGGAATTGGCAGGAATTGGTGACTCTCTGATCGAAAGCAATTTCCCTTCTCAAACATCTTCCAAACAGGCGAAGCGTGGAGGCGAGAAGCAAAAAAAAACAAATAAAAATAAAGAGTCTTTTGTAGCTATATACAGAGTTTCGGAGTTTGGATTTAGACCCCTGACCCAGACATGTTCCAGTGATTCCAGTGACCACTATTTGTTTAAAGTGGTGATCCAAGGGCCCCTGCCACAAGATGGCCCAAGAGGTGTGTTTGTCTCCGGTCTACGCGAGAATCGGATAATGCTCAAGTCTTGACCAAATGCCGCTTGTGAGCGCGACTCATTTAGCATTGCGTCCCTCAATGCTGGTCACCAGCGATTCACAGCAAATTGATTCATTAGAAGACTTTCCCATGAACAACTGGCCCTGAAAGTCAGCATCAACTTCAGTTTATAGTTCTGAACGGCGAAATCCGCGTTTGGAGAAGAAGACTACTTGAGAGAGGAGAACTTCGTCATCGGGCCTTCAGGACCCGGTGAAAAGGAAGAAGACTACTTGATGAAAAATTGCACAACCCAAAAATGCTTTTGGGTAATATGCAGTCTACCACTCGAAAAGAAACATGTCTTGGGTGGACCTCCCATGTTGAGGATTGATCCTCAACCCCCTGGGCGCTCTTCCCTGCTTGAGAGAGGCGAAGAGCGGTCGGCCTCAGGTGTGAAAAAGAATCTGTTGAACCAACTGAGCAACTGCTAAAACATGCTAAAACCCTCCCAACTGCAATGTTTGAGATGCTTTCATACTTTGATGCTGCATCCTCCCATATAGGCCACCCCTTGGAATTGTCCCACCCCTTGGAGTATCCTGGCCACTCCTGATTTGATAGACACCTCGACTGAGTCTTGAAATTTCCAAATGAGAAGAAGCTTCGTGAACACTACACCCTGACCGTCTCTACCACAAAGATCCACAAAGTTGGGAATGTTGCACCTTGCATGTCACACGGAGTACAGGTATGAGTCAGTATGCAAGAAATGACCTAGAAAAGGGCATTCGACCGCTGCACGGTGTGGGTCGAGCGCGCGGTCCAGGCCTGGACGACTCTGACTCGGACCAGGTCGTAGGTCGTGGGTGACACAAGGACTGGACGACTCGGGTGGAGAGCACCATGTGGAGAGCACCAACGTGCGTTCGTTGGTTGAAAACGCTCAAGCAAGAAAGGCAAGTCCCAATTTTTTCATGGGCTTCAGATTGGGGCGGCCAGGCTTCCCAAAGCAACGAGCCGAGCTCAGGATGCACCGGTCATCAAGACACAAAGGTCTGGAGTTTCTGCAGCTTCTCCAACACAAAACAGCTGCTTGGATTGGAAGTTGAGCCCATCGCAAGGGAAAGAACAAACATCAATTGCTAAGCAACTGAAAACTTGGTTTTCACACACAACCCTGAAACGTGCAATAAGGATAAGGTTCCTTCTAAAATGAGAAATCAGATTCTCTGCCATCCGCTGGTTGCGTTCCACAGCCAGTCCCTGAGACACCCAACTGTTCATGTCCGCATGAAGCAATGCTGCCAGGACGAAGCTCAGAGCGACCATGGGGAGCACCTGATGGCCAACGATACCCCCCGAGACCCAAAAAGAGCCGATTTGGTGGTCCCCGTTTGTCAAGGAAAAGGGTCTTCCGAAAATGTCCAAGCTATCAACTTCCATTATTAAGAAAATCACTGACCTGGGCTCTGCGATGTTCTACAAGGATCCAGAACACTCATCGTATACAGCGATAGACCCATGAACGCCCTGATTGGGTAGACGAAATTGATATAAGAGCAGTCGTTTGGTCATTCCGCACAACACTATTCAGATTTGTTGGGGAGGTATAAGGATAGAGCACAATAACATTTGACCTTCATTGAGTTCTTGCTCGGCTCGCAGGTCTTCTGCGCGCGGAAGAAGCGAGCCAAGATCAATTATGCCCAGACACTGGCAAGGAGTCTGCCTCCTGCAGTAGTCACTTCAACATGCCAATCAAAATAAGTATGGGACAAGAAAAGCCATCAACTGCCAGGAATGTCATTATATCGACGAACAAAACTGTCAAACAATAATAGTGGAAATATGTGGAAATGCAACAACAATCAACAACATGCATGTGTTTGAGCAAATACTTATCATAGTTCAAAATGACTATAGAAGCTTCATTCGCTTGGAAACCCTTTTGATCTCTGACTGGAGATGGGGCTATCCATCACTGAATCATCTAAATAGTCTAGAGTATTGAGGCGGATAGATCATGCTGGTACTGCACATGATGAGGGTCTATTTCTGGATCAGCAAATGACATGGTGCTAGCAGAGGGGCAAGCAATAAATGCAGCAAAAGGATTTTCACATCAATGCATGCATCGTTTACGACCACAAACATAGGGAGGTGAACATCCTCAACCGTCCCCGCATCCACCGTCTCCAGCGCACACGCGCGCGCGCGCCGGAGTTCCGACTTCCTCCTCATAGCTCCAAGTGTAGGAGACATAAGCCCGGTAGAGCAACCAAAGCACCAAGAGCAGGCTACACAAATCCACCGCCTCCCGAGCCGAAAACACTGTCCCGGGACCCCGGGACCCTGGGACGAAAGCTCATGACCGGAAAAACGGGGGTGCAGGTTTGATTTTTGGGAGCCCACTTGGTGGGCGTCTCGTCTTGGACCAGGATGTTTGTACCTGGAAAAACCTGAAGATAGTCATGTTATGTCATTTTTGTTACTAGTAGCTACTTGCTCCTAGTAGTACGGCCAGGAGCCCCTAGTAGCGTTCTTGCTCCGTTCGTAGCGATGCCCTTTGCTACTAGTAGCTTCTTGTTTGGATGCAAAAACCAGAGATTCGAAACACCAAAGCCAAACAGTTCTAGGAGTGGACATGTTGATTCAAGTCTAAGTCTATATGGACGGGAGGGTCGTTGCGGGAATTGTTAAAACGACTGGCGAGTCCGGCCAGCCATGACTCGGGGATCCTTTTCGACAGCTGTAGGCTGTATATCTATATATATATATTGATCCGTATTGTTGCGATGCTGTTGATGACTCCCTGGCGACGTCAGAAGTGTTGTGAAACAGTAGATGCTGTAGATGTTGTAGATGACTGTAACTCTAGTCAGGGCCTCTACCAAAAGTGGTCCTTCTTTATGATGATCATTGATTATCCATTCTTGCAGGGCGCCAAGCGCTGACCCAGCTCACCGCTATTTCGGCGGCCCGGCTCTAGAGCGAACCTTCGGCAGTGACCTGAAAACACAATGGTTTCAACACTTTGACCCATCAAAAGAAGTACGTGAGATAAGTGGGTGTGTATTCTAATAGGAGGCTCCCTACAAATGGGTAGACTGGTCTATTTTCCTTCTTCCAGGTAGTCTTTGGGAGGTCTCCCTATTTTAAGGCACACCGAAGTGAATCCATTTGAAACCAGGATAGTCCTGCTTTGGACAGGCCATGGCATTCATGCAAGATTGCTAGAGCTTAAGTCTTCCGGTGATACATGTCCTCCCTCCGACTCCCTCCAAATGATTCATCAATTTTCTGAGAGGCATGATCTGCGTCTCGAGCTCCACCGATGCCCCCCCCACTTCCACTGATCGAAGGAGAGAACCTGATACACAAAGTCACCGGAGGCATCCACTGGCAAATATCCTCAGGCGTTTCTCTACAACCCAGAGCGACGTCACTCGGTGCAGCGCAACGCGACGTCACTCGGTGCGATCGGCTTTGTGAACCCCTAAAATCCCACCAGTTCGTCCGCGCTTTTTGATAGATCCCCCAGGTTCGATCGGCTTCCGACTTCAGTGTCGGGAGAAGGGAACAATGATCTTTGGGACTTCTGGGGTGGGGGACCCACCTACCCCAAAGGGGGTCGGTTGCATGATGGGCTCGCTAATCCCGACCTGATGATTGGAAGGAGAGTGTGGTTTCACATCACCAGGATGACCATCTCACACATCGGACCAAGACATGTTGTTTCGACCATCATGTCGAGGAACCAGAAATTCAGCCTCGCTTGGTTGGATTCGTTTGATACCTATCGGGTGATACAAACTGTGCATCTGTGTATATAAATGTCTGCCACTATCAACAACCCGAAAAAACGAATCAATTTCCAGCAATGGATCCTGCCAATCCTGGAATCATGGTTCTTTGATGTTCTTTGTCTTGGGCACCGATTCACCCGTGTGAGGGCATAGAAGAGCCAGTACAGTATCAACCAACTCCAATGCCATTTGGACTCAGGGCACGCATATTCTAGCAGGTCACCAATGGTCTCGATATGTTTCAATGACAAAGCACCTACGCAAGATCATACGCGAGCTCTTCCTGGGCCCCTCATTATGATGACTACCACCAACCCAAAAGATTCAAACATACTCTCTCCTGGCCTTACTACTAGGAGCAAGAAGCTACGAACGGGGCTCCTGGCATCGCTACGAACGGAGGAAGAACGCTACTCGGGGCCATCCAAAATCCGCTTCCCCATCCACCCAACCCATGGCCCACCGCCCCGGTCGACCTCCGCCCAGCGACCGTTGAGCCAGGTGGTCGACGCCAAACGGCACACAAAGGCGAAGGCCTCGACCGACCGTACTGTGCCATGTGGGTGGAAGGCAACCGGAAGGATGGCGGATCTGAATCACTGGCTGATGCAGATATCAACTGGTAGATCAATAGCATGATGTTTCCAGAATCTATGGCTCTAGAGAAAGCTACAGGATGTAGTTGCTGTGACGACATGCCCGCCAGGAAGGACAGATCCTGATGCCTGATGGTCCATCCAACAGTTTATTCGGACCATGTCAGGCGTGCCTGTTAGGCGTCAACCAACGGGTGGACTGCGCGTTCCAACGGGTCCCGGGTGGGGCGCTTCGTAAACCCGAAAAGCCATGGTTCTTTCATGGGGCGACCCACAAGAGATGACTGCCTTACTGGCCAGCAACAGAAAAAGCTCATAGAGCTGCATACTAAACCTGGACGCCCCTGAAGTCACAGTCAAAACGTAAATCAAAAACACATGCTTCTCTATTGATTTTATATCTTTGGAGGGTTCCATCCTCAGCAGTCATTCGAGAATTAACGACAGAATGCGAGCTGTCGGGGTTTGCCTCCAGACTCAAAGACTTGGCAGAGATGCCCGCCACACTACCTGCGTGGCAAGCCAGCGGGGCGAGTTCTTCGTCGGATGGACTTTAGGTGATTGGGAAGGGCAGCTAGCGAGGTAAGCAGCGTCCGCGTCACCGGATCGTAAGGCTAGCCCTTGAAGTCTTGAAGATGATTGGGTGTTATATACTGTACAGTAATATATATATATTATAAGTTATATAACACAGCTGCTGCTGTTAAAGGAAGCAATATGAAGCAGTCCTACACCAACTCAGACAAAGGATATCAATGTTTTACAATGCGGTATTGCTTGCGGTATTGTGATGCTGTGCGGGTGTCATAGTGTGGCCACAAAAATATTAAGCTTCTTGTTACTACTAGTAAGGCACTTGTTACTAGTAGCGTGGCACTTGTTTCTAATAGCTTCTTGTTACTACTAGTAAGGCACTTGTTACTACTAGCTTTAAAGACCTGCTCCAACCGCCGGCTCGGCGCCACAGTCCGTCCAACCGCCACACGCGCGAAAAAAGGCCGTGCCGCGTCTGGAATGTGTGACCGGGATGACCGGGGGTTGGTCGCTTTGCGACCGCGTGCATGACTGTGAAGATTTTTGGGAAGGTGCAAGTCAAGTGACCCATGATCTAAATCTATTTAGAAATCTGGCTAGGGGGATCAGATCTGGGGGTCGCAAAGCAGTTGGTCAAGCTGTTCACGGGGCCAATTTTGTGCGCCGTGCCCCAACCGGAATCCGCAAAGCAGTGGTCCCTCGCAGGGCAACCGTGTCTTCTCTTTCAAAGGTGTAGCGCAGCACTTCGCTTCGTGCTTTTTGGCCTCGCCTTGAGAGTAGGACTTGATCACCAAGAGGACAAATGCAAGACATTGAATCCTCAAAGGTCCGTTGTCTGGGAACTGACTGAAGAAAAGCTCCCCTACTGCCGTCGTGTTGAAAACGAGTAGCCTGATATTATGATATTGTCTGGATAGCAGGCTGCAGTGGCTGGAGGCATTCATTTTAACTCAAATGCTCTCCAGGTCAAAACTGAGGTACTGAAGGTCGAAACTTACACGGCGAGATGGTAGAAGTAGAGGATACTGGTAGTAGTGCAACATTCAACCATCGCCGGCCATCTATATATCAAGCGCGAACAGTTTCTCTGATGAGATGCACTGACCGATCAGGAAAAGCTTCTGGGAAGCCAAGAGGCATCTGAGCCATGGTCAGGATCGACGAAAATTCCCCGTTTGCAACGAAGTGATAGACCTCAGCATCGGTAGGCCTGGTGGGAGGCACGCACCACAGCAGCAAATGGGGTGAAGTTGGTTCTCCTGACCTTTGATGAGCTGGTGAGTCTGTCATAGAAATAAACCAAGGAATCAAATGAAATCATGAAGTGGCCGTGAAATTCTCAAATGACCTGCCTTGCTTTTGCATGAAAAAGAATTTGAGATGAACATAAAAAGACGAAAACAAATACATAGCCCATATGGTCCAGTTCGTCTTGGGGCAACACCGCGAAAACCATCGAACAGTCATGGGGCCGTGTCTGAAATTGGAGGGATGTTCCATCGTGTTTTCTTTCATGATGTTCATTGATTTTCTCAAATCTGTTCAAGGGATGGTCCACCTGCACACTCTTGTTCACTGCTCGATGCTGGGTTTGACCACCCTCAAAGTGATGGGGGTCTGTGGCTTCAAGTCCTCTTTTCGGAACTTGAGGTCTGCGTGGAGCATCTGGGCAGAAGGACTTCCAGGGATGCTCAACAAAAACAAAAGCCAAACCGTACCAAGAAAGTTGATCCGGTTCTTCTACCTGAGTGCGAAGTGAAGAATGCGAAGTAAGATGAGTTGGAATTGAATAGACTGTTTGATTTCGCTCCACTCTAGCAAGCAGGGGTAGCCTTAGAATGTTCATCAACTCCTCTATACATGGCACCCCAATGCCCTCACCCCGTGGTGACCAAAGCTGAAATTGTGGAGTCTCCAGTGCCGATGAGCTCGAGATCGCACCAGGTTGGAGGCGGATGTGCTAGGAAGAACTGACCCTCTTTCCGTTTCCCTGGAAATTCAAGGTCAAACTATGTCAAACTGCTCCACCTGTTACATTTGAGTGCGGAAGCCAATCCCCCGATGTCAAGGCGGGGCAGCTTATCCGAACTCCTTGGTAGGGGATTCAACCGGTCGCGGCCTTGGCCGTCAAACGGTCGCCTCCAAACCCCTAGCATCAATGCCTTCACCTCAGTTCACGCGGGTCCCTATACTATAGGAAACAGGTTCTGTTTCCTCCAGCAAAAGTCCAAGAAAAGGGACCAGTTACTAAAATGAAGGGAAATCTGTCAGAGACCTCGTTCTCCAGGTGTTGCGAGATTTGTTAATAGCAGCACCCACTCAAGGTACTCGATAGTTGAGCAGTATCATGCAGTATATCTAATATTACCAGTATCTGAAAAGAGGGGGAGCAACCTCCTGCCACGCTCCCCACTCTTGCTGTTAATCAATTCTTCAGCTCAGCAACAATCAAACTTCCTGCGATGAAGATGAGGTAGGCCGCCTCAGTTTTAATCAGCACGCTGTTTTGGGGTCAAACAGATCGGCTCTTAAAAATGGCTTGTGGTGACGTTTGCACACCCAAGAGTTTCTGGATGCCAAGGAGGGAATCCAAGTTAAGAATCGATTGTCTGAAGACCCTGTGGCCCTGCGGCTTCCTTCAGAAGTCACTGCATGATCCATCTTCAGGTGCTCCTCCAAAACAAGAGCACACGTCTTCCCCACAACTCCACTCACCCTTGGTCCCAGGCAGGGAGGCAACCAAATATCCAAACGGCACCATTCGCCCCAGTCTCCCCACCCCTAAAAGACTCTAAAGGGCGACTTGCAGGGTCAAATCTGCTTGCGGCAGAGGCACCACAACAGCGCCACCTGAAGATTCGCGCACCAGTGCAAACAGCTGGAACCGTCAGGTTGCTGGGGGCTGAATAAGTGTAGGATTCAGGTCACATCTGTCAAGTCAGGTCACATCAGTCTGCCAATTTTTCTCCCAAAGGGAAACAGTGAAGGATTTCTTCGGGCAAGTCTGCTCGAGCCTCTGTTTGTCTCTGTTTGTCTCTGTTCCGGCCCAAATAGTCTGGTTTTGATCTGGACAATACCACTGACTCGTCCTCCACAAGGTTTTGGGGACCTGAAGAATGAATTCTTAGAAGACCAGTCAGCTATAGCTCATGTTTTTGAGGTCCATACAGAACTTCTCTGCCTCCGTGCTCTGTTCATCAACTTCCTTTTGAACCAAACACCTCGCCACATCCATAGGTGCCAAGTCCTCCTTGCCAAGTCCTGAGAGGCAAGGCACTCTGCTGCTCCTTGGGCACCTCCAAGTGTCGCCGGTCCATCATAGCGCCGATGACCTGGCACTCGAAGAGGGGACGGGAGGAGACGCTACACCGAGTCAACGGGATGGGTTGAAGTGTAGGAAAAGTGAGTCGGGATGACCGGGAAAGAAGCTCCAACGACTGAAACCAGTTCTGGCCTAACTTGGGTGAAACTTGCAGATCTACAACGGGATGGGTCAAGTCGTTCTCTCATCTGGGTATTATGGTAGTGCCTGCTATTACCTGCTGTTGGTCAATTCATTCCAAACAGAAAATCAAGCGACCACCCAAACTCACAGGACAAGGTGACCCTGAATAGGAGTGGCCCACTCTTCAACCAGACTTACAATCACATCAATAACCGGTCTTCGCCCACTGGTTGGGTTCAAGTAAATGTTAAAAATATCACCGTAGCTGAGAAAAGTCACCAACAACTTCAAGCCAGAATAGATGTAGAATAGATGTTGTTGTTCACTCCCATCAAGGGAAGCAACCCCTGTCAAATGGCTTCGAACCTGCCAAATCAAGGAATGACCTCTTTTCCAGTCTTGTCAAATCACGTGTAGCCAAGTGCTTCCCGATGCAGCTGGAGCTCCGCCATGATGTCGTCTGGGACGAAGCGCAAAGCGTCTCTTGCTGCAGCCATGTCCGCCTCGTCATTCGTGTGGTTGAAGCCCTGGTTAAGTTTTGGGTCTTCAGAGAACCCCTTCAAACCTCTGTTCTCGTCTTCCACAGCAACTGCATTTAGAATCTCCTGCTTCTGCTTCTCTGTGATCTCATTCCCGAACAGAAAATCTAAGATTTCTCTCATCGTGTTGTCAAAGTCCCTGGAGCTGTTTGTAAACTTCTCAAAACGCACCACGAGCACATCGGGCTTAGCGACCGTATAGGCCAAGGCGATGGTCCGGACCTCGTTGAGCAGACTTGAAGCCATAGCAGGAACTCCTTCCTCGGGTCCCATCTGCGTGATGTTTGCAGGAGTAATAGGTAAGCCGCTGGCAGCCCCGCGGTGAGTATAGCAGTAGCCAGAGACCACAATTTCCAAGGGGTCACGAATCATCATCACACCACGCAAACCTCCTTTTGAGGCAGCTTCCTTTCGTATCTTGAGGATCTCTCTGCCAGAGATGCCGTTGTGGAAACGGATAGGAGTCGGATGAGTAGTGCACTCTTCATGATAACCAGGCTTGGAAGTCACTGGTCTGCTTGAATTTCCATACTGGCATGAATCTGTGGCGCCTAAGAGATCAAACGTCCAGTGCATCGTATTACGGAGCAACTGGCACCCCACTTTGAAGTGGGTTGCGACCAGGTACAAATGTTTCTCCAAAAGCTTCTCGGAACCTTTCGAACGAACCTGAGTCCTTGAGGTCTGTACCAGTTGGTTCCCTTCCACCACCGGCTTACAGCGCTCCTAACGCGGGTCGCAGGGCTCAGAGCCCTCCAGCCGCTGCCACCGCATCCATGGCAGGCGACCATCCACGGCGTCCGCGTCCGCGGGTCTCGCGGAGACCGCGAGGAGCACCGCGAGGACTCGCGCCGCGAGGAGCGTCCACCGGCCGAACATGGATTCAGTGCGAACCGGAGAGGTAGACCGGATCATGGTTCAGTGGAATCCGGGCTTGAGCCCGGGCTCAATCCGGCTTCTGCTTGTTTGTCTGACGGTTCATCGATTCGAGGATCCTGCATCACTGCGGTTCTGGATGTGGAAGGATACTATGCCATTTCACCTGCATAACTGAGGATGTAATAGGATGTGTACATCTATAGCAGGCTTCCATCTTATCTTTAAGCCAAACCCATTTGATTCGATGCAGTTCACCGCCCGCCGTGAGCCGCGCAGTACCTTAATGTCTAAAGTTCCAGCTGTGTAGGACTGGGTGGTGCTAAACCTCGCTAAACCTAGTCGATGCCTCCTCCACCCCACAAGCGCGGGCGGGAATAGGGGTGCGATTGATTTGCGAGTTACTCTTGTCACCCAGTCAGTCAACGGTGTCGGAAGCAAACGAGCAACAACACACAAACAAACCGTGGTTCAGCATGTTAGTCTGAGTGGAAGCGAGTGTTTCAGCGTTTGTTCCTCTGAGTGGCCGGAAGTAAGAAGCTTAGCAGCTAGTTAGTTGTCCCCTCTTCCAGGTATAAGTTATAACTAGAAGTTCTGGTATGTTCTGGTATGTTCTGGTATAAGAGGGGACAAGTATAGAACCTCCACTTACAGGTATAAGTAAGAAACTAGAACAAGACTCCAACCAGAAATCTGTTCTGGACCTGCTGCGTCGTCGAAAACCCCAACCGATCGAACCAGTGCGAGGAATCCTGCCTTCCCCACACCGAGTTCCCCCTGAACCGGGCCTCGATGAGAAAGACTTGGCTTAGAGAACGCGGGGGCTGAAAGAGAACTGATTCCTGAGCCCTGAAAAATGGTCGGATCGCGGCGGTAGTATGGGCGAACATAAAGGTGTTGGAACACACGCGCGGAGTGCTTGCTGCCCTCTTCAGGGTGAGGAGCAGTGTGCGAAAGTCGTAGGGAGGAAGATGGTGATCCTGAGCATATGCGACTGCCGCTGTTGACGGACAAGCTTCAATCCACCGCATGTACCACCCATAATGCTTCGAAGTGGGTCAAGCCTGAGTCAAAACTCAAATTCAAGCAAACACCGGCAAACACTCCAAACAGAACAAACTGTCATCGTCTACCAAAATGCTGTAGGCCGACACCGAAGGCCGATCGTCCGAGAAAGACAAGATTGTGAAGCTGGATGTGTACCAGGACCAACAAAACACTTGATGACAAATGATGGTAGGACAGGGGTGCTTAGCGTGGTGTCGCCAACAACATGCTATCCAGGGCGGCATCGTCTGTCTGTACTGATCTGAGAAACGAAGGTTTGAGGTCATCATGGCCGGCTCCCAGACTATATAGTGTGTTCATTTGCATTAATGAAAGATCGTTTTGGTAATCAAACAATGTAATAAAAGCTCTGAAACATATGAAACATATGTCGGTCATCAACAGCGAATCTCATCGAACCCATTCAATCCACGAGAGAACAGACCTCTTGCTGCGGTTGACGTAGTAGACGTCATCCATTAACATGCCTGACGTCTGCAATGGAAAAAATATCGTCGACACATGAGATCGAAAGTCTGTTCAATGGCTTTGGTCGACATGTGCCCCTGGAACTGCACGAAGGGTTTTTCACTCTTGGACAAGAAGCCGACGCGAACCGAACCGTCGTATGATGGCTCTCCCAAACGATCTTCATGGATATTCAGGAGCTATGAGGACATATGTCATGAGGACGCCAGCTATGAGGACTACAGCTATGAGGACTGGAATCCATCACTCATATTATATGCATTCCAGTCTACCATTCCAGGGGTCGGCTATGATACTTCAGGGATACAAACATGCTTGGTAGTTATGCATTTAGATTTGTTTTGTGGGGGGGGCCACTTGACACCACTCAGGACACTTGACATCACACCTGCTCTTGCAGCTCGAGGCGAAGAGAATGGTGCATGCTGTCAGGGCCGGCCCACTGGACATCTGGTCCCTGAAGGAAAGAAACACCTTGTAAATATGTATGAATATGTGAGTGTGTATTTTAATTGGGAGACACCCAACCAATGGCTTTTGATTTTTGAGATATTGTCCTTCTTCCAGGGTGTCTTTGGGAGGTCTCCCTATTTTAATACACAGCCATGTGGGAGCAGGTCGTGTTCATACCGTGCAAGCAACCTCCCGGAAAAAGGAACTGCAACAGGGTCACTATTGGCATCCAACCAAAATCTGTTTGTTTTTGCGATTCCCAGCTCGAATGGAACTGTTGCATCGTTCCTTCATTCTACTGTGGGGCATGCTGCTCGTTTGGTCTGTTCCAAGGTCCAGTAAGCAAGGTCCATCCAGACATTTCAGGTCTGGCTGGCCAGAAACATGAAAAGCTGCCTGCCAATCTGCGGCAACCAAGAGCTGCGCAAAACAGGCTGCTGACTGGTCAGGCATGTAAGGCATGTGCTGGATTCTGGATTGAAGGGGTCCTTGTAGCTCCTCCAGGATTTGGGAGGATAGACCCAGCTTGGCTCTCTAAGAAACATGCTTGTCTCCAAAAGGCATAACCAACTCCATGTCCGGTGAAGCAAAACATCTATTGTTGCGGTGTTGCGGCTTCAACCCCCGGATCGGGGGGGGTACGTGGATGGGTTATTCCTGGAAGCTTGGAATCCATGGCTCCATGCTGAACCGAATCATTGATCAAACAAGGTGTGCGGTTGCTGATGTGAATATGTATTTACAGTAATTCCCTCCCCCCCGAGGGCATCAGCGATGTCTTTGCATGGTCAAATTGGTGCTTGAGGAAGATGGCTAGGACAGAATGGTTCTGCTCACAGTGGCCGGAACCACGTGCGTCAACGAGACAACGACGCCCGCAAAAGAAGTGCGTCTCATCAATATTCCGTTGATGAGCAATCCAATGGATCCAGCTAAAACCACCATTTGAAGACATCCTCCTCGCAAAAAAAAGGATCGGACAAACGGTATCAGAGATTGGAGCGTCTGGGTCGGAACATCTCCAGTCTCGCACGTCCCCCTGCCAAAGCCGTCGAGGAGTCACCCCGTGACGAAGGCCCACACGGACGAAGCCCGCGCTGAAGTTGTCGCCAATATGCACACCTCTATAACTCTGCCTGTAGAAGAATTCCAGTGTTGGGAGGCTTCTTAGGAAGTCTTGGGAGTTCCTAGAAACTACTAATTATATAACTACTCTTAGTCCAGTTCAACTAAATAAGCTAACTTCACTTCACCATTAATCATCAGCAAGTTCTCCCGTGCACTCCGCTGGCACACTTTTCTGTCAGATGCAAATCTGCTCACAAGCGGAATCAGCCCGCAGCTGGTTCCTGCAAAGAACTCACGGAACTCAGGATCTTTGAGTGTTCCGGGCGGGAAGGAAACAAATATCGAAGAAGAACAAATCACCCTTTATTCCTTCCCCCCAGCCGGACCCCTTGTGAAGCGAGTTCGGATGTTTGGCACTGCCGGATAGTCTGAGACCGAAAATATCGTACCCTTCGCCGGGAAAGGAGCGGTCCGTGAAAGGAGCGTCTGGGGTTCTTGGCTGGGTTGATTTCAGCCTCAAGACCGGAGAACCAAATCATATGAACAATTCTTCACACCGGATGCAAGACAGGATGCACCGGATGCACAAACGTGCCAAAACGTCTTGCATCGTCGGCAACCAAAACACCCAAGTGGGGAGGAGGTGCAGAGGCGGTCAGGGTGGGGGTGACCAAACACTCGGCCTTGAGGTGCCATATCGTCAAGAATCCAACGTTGGGAGCATCGCAGAATTGGTTTAAAGACACTGGAAGCCCATAGTTCGGGGAGTGACTTCCCGGTGTCCAAATCCATTGAAACCAACCCAAACCACCAAGCTTTGTAGAGCCCAATTCGAGGATCTGAGCTGAGACACTTTGACGTGGACGGCATGTGCCCCTGAGAAAAAACACTGTGTTCAGTGTTGAGTGTTCCATTATGTGCTGCTTTGCTACTTCCATGTCAGAGTCGAGTGCAGAAAATGAAAACTCCCATTCATGCGTGAGCTCAAAACTTGCAGGTGAGCTCAAGAGGGTGGTTCGGCAAGCTTCACCAAACAAATAAGGCGAACTGGACAACTGGGGTGTCCCCTGTTTCTTGATTGATTCCACACACCGTCGAAACGACGCGAATCGCCTGCCCATCAACAATCTGGATGGGTGGTGGGGCTGGCGTGCCTCAGCAAAAAGCCCTACTTCGTCACGGGCTTGGCATGGCCCCTGTGTCCTACAATCTGGTCCGACTGGAGTTCCGAAAGTGTTCTTGTCCAAGCAATGTCCAAAAAGGCAGCCCCCTTGGGCTCTTCCCTTCCACCTGTCGCCCCTCCATGAGAAGGCAGGCCATTTCTTCCTGTTGATGCATGGCCCCTGTGCAAGGATGACACGCTTTTGTTGAGGTGCTGTGAACGCCGCAGCCCTTTTCCATGAGGTGTGAACACCTCATCAAGACCTTGACTGGTCAAGACAAGGCCAGAGGTCACCAGGAAAAAGGAAGCGTTTTCGACGTTGAAGTTTCGTTGATTTGCAGCTTGTTGAACCAAAGGGAACACGACCATGTCCCACCACCAACAGGTTATGAGCCCAACGTCAGAACTTTCTTTACCTCACCCCTCCATGCTCCGCCGGCGACGAACCATGGAGCATGATGATGATGGCCGCCTGGCCTTGATGCCGCCTGCGGAAGAGCCTCGAAGCGACGAGCTGGTGGCCGGCTGAAGCTTTGGAAGGTGATGGAAAGAAAGAAGAAGATGAAAAGAAAGAGTTTAGCACCCCGGCTCGTTCGACGACAGGGCTGGGGAATACTGGAACAGGGAAGACTGAAATGGAGGTGTTTAAGAGTGGTGGGTCAAAAGAAAGTGTGGTTGAGGCTCCAAAAGGAAAGCCTACCACTCTGGCTCCCTTGGCACCACCAGCACCGCAAGTCATGCAGCCCCTGTTCACTCAGGAACAGATCAGAGAAGCTAAGGCATC